GTATAAATGGAAGGCAAGGAGGGGTTTGTATATATATTAGCAACAATAACCCACGTTTCCAAATAAATTGGAATACTCTACTTCAAACTGCGGTTTGCTCAGGGAAGGTTGGTAGCACGCGATTATGTTTGTGTTCACTCTTTTTAACCCCCCGTGAAATAGTAACATTACCTGACTTAGATATTTCAATTTCTCAGTTACCCCAGCCGTTTATCCTATGCACAGATGCCAACAGTCGACACAAGATGTGGGGTGCAGACCGATGCGATTAAAGAGGTTAACTGCGGGAACATGTCATACAACATGCAATGCATATTTTGAACGATGGATGTCCAACAAGAATGGATGATTATGCTCGACTTTGGTCACACATAAATATAACCCTCTCATCCAGTAGTATAGGTCAGTATGACATGTTGTACTGCCAATGATCTGCACTCTAGTGATCACTGTCCAGTGTAAATTACATTCGAAATGGACCAAACAACGGAACTTAACCCGCACACATTACATGGGTGGAATGCGAACAAAGCAAAATGGACAGATTTTACCGACAAAGGTGATATACGATTTGATGAAAGGGCTGGTATCGACAACCCTGCGACTATGACTGATAGTTGAGTCAGAGTGGCAAAGAAAACCATTCCTCAGAAAAGCGGGAAAACAAAATATAGCTGCCCTTGGTGGAACGAAGAGTGCAAAAGTGCTATTCGAAATCGTACAAGGGCACCTAACAGATTTAGACGGAGTCGACAAACTATCCACCTAATGGAATGGAAATAATCTAAAGCAAAGGCCAGGCAGGTTATTCGTAACTCCAAAAAGAAATTGTGTGAAAAGCTTCTGCATGTTTTCAACGACACCACTCCTGTACAACAGCTGTGGGGTATTATGCGCAGATTTACGAAAAAAGAGAGGTCACAAAGGCCGCTACCTGTTTTGAGCATTGATGGTGTTATTAGTGATGACCCTGCGGAGGTAGCAAATGTGCTGGGAAGACATTACTCCAATACTTGTGCTTCCCAGAACTACCGACCAATGTTTAGGAATCGTTTAAATGAACTGATACATGAAATACCAAACTTTTGTTCTGAAGATAACGAGGAATATTACGCTGTCTTCACCATGGATGTGCTCCAACAGTCCATTACATTGTGTGGAAAAACCTCGGTAGGCCCAGATAAAATCCCTTATGCTCTCTTCAAGCATATGAGTGACAATCAGTTAGGGGAAGCTTTGAAAATGTTTAATTATATATGGTGTTCGGAAAGCTTTCCGGTCTAGTGGAAACACTCAATTACTATTCCAATCATGAAACCTGGCAAACCGGGCGATAAGACTTGAATCATATAGACTGATTCAGTTGACGTTGTGTTTCAGCAAATTAATAGAAAGGATGGTGGCCAAAAGACTTTTACGGTAAATATAACTTAACAATATTATATCAGAGTATCCATGCGCTTTAAGGACAAGAAGATGCACTTCTGATCACTTTATTCAACTGGAGTCCGAGGCCAGAAGTTTTTTCTACCACAAATATACATTAGCCGTCTTCCTTTTTTTAAAGAGCGCATATAACCTGACATCACAGGCGGCACTCCCGACGAAAATGTACCAACTTGGCTTCCGAGGACACTTAATGCATTACCTAAGGTCTTACCTGGATGGTAAAACCTTTCAGGTGAAATGCGGTGTACTCTCCAACACACGTGAACAAGAAAATGAACTTCTGCAGAGTGGGGTGATATCCCCTATTCTGTTCAACATCATGGTAAACATTTTTAATGATGCCCCCAGAAATATGTCCAACGCGCTGCATGCTGACGACTGTACAATGTGGGTGCAAGGAAGGATTATGCCATCTATCGAGAGAATGCAGACAACATTGGATCGTGTTTGTGCCTGGCCGAACAAATGGAGGTTTATTTTTTCGCCTCCGAAGTGCGGCACCATTATTTTTTAGACGGTTTATGAAGGAGCGAGAATCAAGGAATATACTAGAACTCAATATTTATGATCAGCCTGAGACTTACTCTGAACAAGCAAAATTTCTCGGGGTCATGCCGGCCTCCAGATTCAACTCGAACAAACACATTGAGTACACCAAGGCAAGGGCTTCAAAACGCATATCAATTTTAAAATGTCTGGCAGCCCGGGGATGTGGCGCTGATAGAGCCACCCTCCTAAGCATCTACAAAGCAATGATCAGGCCCATTTTGGAGTACGCATGCCCTATCCTAGATGGGCCAAATAACACAACGATCAAACCGTTAGAATGTGTTCAAAATGCGTGCTTACACATGGCAACGGGGCGTTGAGGACTTCGCCTATCCTTCCATTGCAGGCCGAAACAGATATTCTTCCCCCTCGATTGCGACGGCATGAATTGACAATAGCATACTGCATGAAGGCACGAGGCGAGGACAGTCATCCATATCAGAGACTTACCACTGAAACGGCTTCTTTACACCAAGTGGAAAGCGAACATATGAAAAGAATCTCTGGTTTCCGCCGCACGAAAGAATGGCAAGCATATGTAACGATATAGAATTCGACTTTCCTCATGACTTAAAGACAAAGAAAGGTTCCATACCACCCTGGAAGCTACGCAAATGTGAAACCGAAAAACTCACGAACGAAAATAAGTGTGCTCTGAGTGTACGTCAAATGCAAAATGACTTTTGTTAACTAAGAATGGATACCCCTGCTTTTAGTCATATTTTTACTAACGGTTCAAAAACTTCTGAGAGGGTGGACAGTGCCTGCGTCCACGGAGAAAGCTATGCTCGATTTCTACCTTCAGGAAAGTGTTCAGCGTTTGTTGCTGAAGACGTGGCTACACCTCAAGCAATTAAATATGTGGAAATCAAGGGTATCCTGAAATGTGTAAGATGTACTGATTCTTTGTCGGTGGTCCCTGCACTAAAATATTATACTTCTAACTATCCGGTGATGATAAATATTTTTGAAACCTCGCACCGTTTACTAGAAAAAGGACTCGGGATTAAAATCGCGTGGATTCCATATCACTGTGGTATAGAAGGAAATTAAATAGCAGATGCGCAGGGAAAGGCGGCAGTGCTGTTAAACGAAATACTTGAAACCCAAGCACGCTACAGAGAGTACTTACCGACTTTGCACTCTGCCACTATAAATTCTTTCAACAAAACCCGGCATGGGCACGGGCCTAATACAACACTGAAAACGGTAAAGGAGAAAATAGGACAATGGGACTCCTTAACGAGGATCGACCGGCGCGAACCGACTACTAGAACATACGAGAAATACCCATTCGTTCCTTATGGACTGAGAACCAAGACCTACCTGTGAGAAACGCGTATGCCCTCGAACAGTACAACATATGTTAGTGGAATGCCCATTGTCTGCGCGTCAGCGACAACGTATTGTGGAAATCTGTCACAAATATGAAACGCCACTTCGTATGAAATCGCTGATTGGCAATGACTATCTTACTGACGAAGTGTTTAAATTCTTGCGCCTTTGCAAGCTTTTGAAAGAACTATAGTGCCATTGCATACTTCTGCGTGAGCATGTATGGCAAACCCGAAGCTTGTAAGTGTGGTCTATCATGCGCATGCATGCGTTTTTCCTTTTTTCTTTTCGATCAACTAGGTAATACGGTTACTGTGAGTGCCGTCTATCAATGATTTTAAGTTCAATGCGATGTCACAAATGTGCTCCAGTCTTGTGAGGCATCGTAATTGGTCATGTATGGTGAACGGTGGTATGCAAGCAGTGTTGATCCATGTCTCCCTCTCGTTGTATGCTTGTGTGTTTGATCATGTGCGTGTGTGAGCTCGCTTCCGTCTTTATTATTTTGCTATAGCTTTGTAGTACTTTGCAGTTCGGCATTGACAGGAAAGACCCCGTAGCGAAGCGAAAAACGATGAAAGACCTGCGACCAACTTGTCGGACTGAGCGAACCGTAAGCATAGACGCGAACTGATTGATAAGGTAGCAATATATATATATATATATATATATATATATATATATATATATATATATATATATATATATATATATATATATATATATATTTGTTATATATATATATATATATTGTTATATATTTGTTATATATATATATATATATATATATATATATATATATATATATATATTATATATATATATATATATATATTTGTTTATTTAAATGCGACACATGGAGAGCAGATTCTGTGCCGGAGTGCTGACAAACAAATGTACGTGCTACCGCGATTCATGTGTCGTGTCGCTGAAGTTGCGAGATCTTGTGCTATTGTTTGAGTGTGGAACGGGTGAGGTGATCGAGGGGACCGGGCCTATTGGCATAAAGGAGTAGTTTACTTGTATGTAAATACAGCGACTCCTAATTCTGTAGCTCGAGGTAGTATTAACTGCTGAGTACTAATGCATCGTTTGCACCAGGATCCATCCCGTGGCTAAATCTTCCATTTTCCTGTACCATGCTTAGTATCCATAGTATACCAAAATAAAGCTGCAAGAACCTGAATACACAATGGACGCAATGAAGACAACTGAAACGGGCGCTCGAGCCCAGGAGGCTATGCGCTCTTATTCAAGACAAGACAAGTCACATGGACTCCAGTTCCATGTTGTTCTGTGTTCGTCAGATATATTGAGGATCCCCTGAACGTAGGTTGTAAATCAAAGGGGGGTCGCTAATTTGTATCGGCAAGGCTGTCATGTCCATCTTAAAATGTTCAAGATTCAGTCAGAACTGATTACTGATTAAAAACCATGTAATATGGTTTTGCACATCCGCCCCCCCCCCCCCCCCCCAAGTCGTAGCAACAGCCTCGACGCCCGGCGTTGCAGTCTCCATGGGCCGCGCTGCGTCGGCTTCGCGGCTGAGACACCACGCGATGACCAATGAGCACATGAAAAAGATGACGCATCTTGAGGAAGATGGCTGGTGAAAGATGACATTGTCATGCATGTTTAATGCAGTGCAAAAGTAAGCTACACACAACCTTATTCTGAAAAGTGGGGGAGGTTAACACTGCTGCCCCTCTCCCACCTTGCAAAGTGGGGGGAAGGCCACGCCCCCTGGCGCTCCCTGTTCCTACGCCCATGAGGGCAGGGGAAAAAGCGTATCGTAAGTTGGGGAATAAAAAAAACCCACTCGGTTTCGTCTTAACGAGCACGCTCTAGCAAAAAAAAAAACAAACAAAAACAAACAAATGATCAGATTACCTTGATTGTTTTCATTTTGTGGGCAAAAGGCATATGATTCATTAATTTGAATACCCACTGGCTGTTAAGATTTTGCAACAACAAAAAAACACGCAATACCTGAAAAACAAAGACCACTCTATCACAAAATATGTCAATCACTGTTGCATATTTGGGCGCCATCAACAATGTCCTGCGTCTGGGCGCCCGTTCCATGTTTGGCCTTGTCGGGTGTGCGAGCGATGTCCATGATGAGAAATTCGTTCATGATGCATTTCACTTAATTGCTAAGACGCATATAATGATTCAAGGATCATTTTAATTCAGTTGGTACTGAGTTTTAAAGGTTAATACGTCTTAACTTTTAAGTTAATAGGCCATTTTAAGTTAAGGTAGTTGAGTTCTAATGTTAAGTTAAAAAGTTAATTAGCTTTTCACTTAATGAGTTTTCAAGTCACTTCTGTGACGTAAGCAACACCACATTTCAATCAAGGCAACAACAGTTTCGAACACCATACATATCTTACTGACACTAACAAACATAGCACACATAAGCAAAATAGGAACGACGATACGAAATCAAATCCTTTATGGCACAACCGCAATTAATAACCGTTGAAGACACAGGTTCTCAGAGATTAACAACCGTTGAAGACCCAGGTTCCCAGAGATCAGTCATCTAAATGCAGCTGAGAAGCACATGAGCATCAGGCCCAGACGATACAAGCTCATCAGAAACAATGACTAGCAGCGTCACATGATGTCCTCGAATGATCACTACGATGAACAAAAACAGAAAACCAATCACGTCGCAAGAGCAAGGCAGATGACGACCGGAGTAATGAAAGCCGCGCATGAGACACAGATACATTTAGCGAGCGCGACGCACACCGCAGGTTCTTCGTCAGTCCGCGGTGCGGCGCTACAGCGCGCCGAGCAGGTCGTGCTCGGCGGCCGGCGGAGGCGCGGCCAGGTCGGCCAGCAGCAGGTCCTCGGTCGCC